AAATTCACTGTTTCTTTTCAGAGAAGTTCTGATTTGTTCGTATTTTCCAATGCATTGAAGGAGGTGTTTCTTTGCATCCACAATCTCTGAATGCTCTATTTTTAGCAAAGAAATACTGAGAAAGCTCTTAAACTCGCAGATTTTCTCTCCTAATTGACTGCTTAGGGAGCACGCTTTCTCTAAATAATCTTTTGCCTTGCCATATTCACCAAGCGATTGGGATAAGTTTCCAAGGTGTAGGTAAATTCTTGGTTCGAGTCCTCTAAAGCCACATTCTCTGCTGATGGTCAACGCCCTCTCAAAATGTTCTTTTGCCTTCTCATTGTCATTCACAGAAGCAAATACACGCCCTAGACTAAAAGCAGCGTCGGCTTCTAGCATTCTGTCACCAGTTGCTAAACTGACGCCGACTGCTTTGTCCCAATATTCTTTAGCGAGCCGATTTTTTCCAAGCCCATAATAAACATTTCCAAGAGCATCGCACTCGTCACCCTCTCCTAGTCTCTCGCCAATGTCTATCGCGATGTCAAGTGCTTTCTCGCAATATTCTTTAGCCTTCTGATATTCGCCAAGGGAACAAAACACACTTGCGAGGTTCCTGTTAGTTACCCTTTCTCCTCGTACATTGCCAGTTTCTATCGCGATGTCAAGTGCTTCCTCGTAATATTCTTTAGCCTTATGATATTCGCCAAGGGAAAGAAACACATTTCCGAGGGTCCCGTTAATTCCTCCTTCTCCTTTTCTGTCGCCAATTTCTATCGCGATGTCAAGTGCTTTCTCGTAATATTCTTTAGCCATCTGATATTCGCCAAGGTAATAAAACACATTTCCGAGGTTCCCGTTAACTGTACTTTCTCCTTTTCTGTCGCCAATTTCTATCGCGATGTCAAGTGCTTTCTCGTAATATTCTTTAGCCATCTGATATTCGCGAAGGGAATCAAACACAGTTCCCAGGTTCTCGTTAATTGTTCCTTCTCCTTTTCTGTCGCCAATTTCTATCGCGATGTCAAGTGCTTTCTCGTAATATTTTTTAGCCTTCTGATATTCGCCAAGGGAATCAAACACAGTTCCCAGGTATTCCTTCATTCTTCCTTCTCCTTTTCTGTCGCCAATTTCTATCGCGATGTCAAGTGCTTTCTCGTAATATTCTTTAGCCTTCTGATATTCGCCAAGGGAATCAAACACAGTTCCGAGGTTCCCGTTAA